CGCAGCTCAAGAAGTCGGAGAAGGCGCGTGAGGCCAATATCAAGAAGTTCGAGGGGCAAATCGTCAAAGTCAAAGAAGACTTGGAGCGCGAGGTCAAGCTCGAGAACGAGGCGGACGTGAATGCGGAACGGGCGACAGCGCGAAGCGCAGGGGCGAAGGTGGACAATGACCGACGCGCACTTAATGAGAAGAACGAGGCGTTGCGCCGCCGCAAGGACCATAATTCGGAAAATGCGCAAAGGGCGAGACAAGAGTAAGTCGTCTAGTCGAGCCTTCTTGGGATCTCGAGGCTGATGAAGGATAATAGCCTTCGTCAGTTGGACGACAAGCAATCCGTCAAACTTAGGAACTTGGAGAAGTGGGATAGAGATGTCGCCGACGCCGTCAAGTGGCTGCGCAACAACCGGGACCTGTTCGAGAAGGATGTCTTCGAGCCGCCCTATGTATCCGCCTCGGTGCCCGACCCCACGTTCGCTGCGGCCGTTGAGAGCTGCTTCAACGCCAGTGCGCTCAAGGTAACTTGGTTTGCTGCGCCGGGCATGTCCTACAACTGACGAATCTGCTACGCGTAGATGTTTGTGTGCCAGACCAAGAAGGACTACGATACCCTGAACAACCGCATCAACGACAATCCCGGCCTGGGGCGCTCTGTCCGCGTGCCGACGTGGTTCCGCCCCGGGACCGACGCCGATCTTGCGCCGCCCCCACTCTCGCGCGAGGAGCTCACCGCGCTCGGTTTTGACGACTATGCGCTCAAATATATCGAATGCCCCCCGGGACTCGAGTGGTTCTTCAAGCGCGAGCTCAATATGCACCGTACCGTACGTAGCCTTTCATACCAGTCTGCAGCTTTCCAACTGATTCGGGTGTTCTTGTGTTCAGGCAATCTCGAAGAATGGTGTCAAGGACGTCAAGCGCGCGATCGAGTTGGTGGGACGGCCGGGCCCGAACGGGCGCACGGCGAATACCACGTTCTTGGATCGCAATACGTCGCATCAGGTGTCGCGTTCGCGATACGGCAGACACGAGCTGTCCTCAACGACGGGGAACGTCAACCCTGCGAGGAACTTTACGGGCCAGGCGCAGGGTGAGTTTTCCGTTTCGGCTTAGTCCCGTGATGTATTCATGGATGGGATACTAGATCCTGCGGAGAAGCGCCGGATCGACGAGATCCTGTTGACCTGCAAGCGCAATGCGGAGGAGTTGGAGGAGGAACAGAGGACGCTGAACGACGAGGCCAGCAAGAACAATGTGTTGGTAAAGGAGCAGAAGGCTATCCTGGTTTGTTTTCTCTTATGTGCTGAGAATGAGAGCTGAAGCTTCTGCGTAGGACGCTATTGAGCAACGCCTAAACACGATCAGGAACGAGGCGCAGCGCAAGTTGAAGCTCAAGCGGGACCTGCGTATGTTCTTTGCTTTACTCTCGTCCTGATGCCTGACTCTGCTTTCTAGAAAAGCTCGAGGATCAGCTGGCGGCTGCGCAGAAAAAGGGAAATGCGGTACAGGAAGGCGCTCGTATTCGGGCGGACATCATGAAGATTGCGAAGAAGCGTGCCAAGCTCGTCAAGGAGGCCATCGTCCGTCTTCTGTCTTTCCGCGCCGTGCGATATTCACTCAGGGTGTTTTCACAGGAGCTTGCGCGCGAAATTATCGAGGAGCAGACGAAAGCGACGGTGGTGGGGCTGCAGTACCTCCAGATCGGCGCCAAGATAGCCGCACTCCAGGACCTCTGCGACAGGAAGACAACGAGGTATAACGCTGCACTGGCGGAGTTTAACGCAAGTACGTTCATTTATTCTGTTCCGCAACGTCGATACTCACCCTGGAGCAGTCGACGCCGAGTTCAAGGAGGTCAAGGCGAAGTCGGGTCAGCTCATGCGCGAGAGCGTGGAGTTGCTGAACAACTTGTCGGAGGAGCTGCGCGAGGAGTATTCGGTTATCGAGGCGCGGCGTAACGCGTACGAACAGGCGGTTGAGGCGGCGCGCAGGAATGGGCAGGATCCTCCGGACCCTGACGAGGATGTCGATTTGCGCACGATGGACGAGCTGCAGGCGGAGCTAGAGCTGCAAGAGGCGAACTTGGAGATGAATACGAATACGAATCCGGGTGTCGTGGAGCAGTACGAGAAGCGCAAGCGCGATGTGAGTCGGCTTAGTTATTGCGCTCACGGCGGAACGCTGATGCTCCCATGCAGATTGCCGCGCTTGAGAAGACCCTGGAGGGCCGTCAACGCAATGCAGACAAGATCGAACGCAAGATCAAGAATGCTAGAGTACGTTGCTTCGGCTTATGGTATTGCATGGTGTTTACGGATGATTTCTAGGACAACTGGGAGCCGGCCCTGCAAAAGCTTGTCGCTAGCATCGGGAAGAAGTTTTCCGCTGCATTTGACCGTTCGTCCTCGTTTTATTGCCACGGGTGCACCTGCTCACTGCTACTTTTAGGCATCGGATGCGCAGGCGAGATCCGTGTCCGCCAGGATGAGGCGTACGAAAACTGGGCCATCGACATTCTCGTCAAGTTCCGCGACACGGAGAAGTTGCAGCTGCTGACCGGCCAGCGGCAGTCTGGTGGAGTGGGTTGCCCGTGTTTTCGAGGAAACGTTGATCTAACTTGGCACATCAGGAACGCTCGCTCACCACGATTCTGTACTTGATGAGTCTAACTGAAGAAGCGCGGGCGCCATTCTCGCTCGTAGATGAAATCAATCAGGTATGGAGCTCGTCCGCTCTGCCTAGTATTGGCTGACCCGACTGTGCTTTCAGGGAATGGACCAGCGCGCCGAGCGGATGGTCCACAACTCTATGGTGGAGGTGACCTGCAAGGCGGACAGCGCGCAATACTTCCTCATCACACCGAAACTGCTCCCGGACCTCGAGTACCACGAGCGGATGAAGGTCCTCTGTGTCAATAACGGCGAATGGCTTCCCGATGAGTCTGGCCTGGGGAACATGATGCGGATGATCGATGGGTATGTCGCGAAACAGCGTCAGCAGTAATTTATTGTCCTTCTATTGCATTCATAACTACTTTACTTATTATGTATCCAATTTTTTAACCGTACAGCCAGATTCTATTATATTGTACGCTGCGGCCGACATTATAAACTCTTGTTTTCATCTTGCTACTGGAGCTCGGATATCTTCCCTTGCGTCTTCAAGGGAGTTGCCAAGTGCACGCCGAAGTTGTGCGGCGATCGCAGAGTGATAGAAAAGCTCTGGGTCATTTCTTGTGCCATCATCCACAGCTGAGGTATGAGAGGCATTCACTCCACGAGCTTTCATGTCATTCGGTGTGGAATCCGAAGCAGTATCTTGTTTTCACGCTTTGACCGCGGCTTGAAAGGTCGTAATAAGTCACTCCTCACACCGTTTTCTTCTGTCGTCTCCGTAGTATAGTGGTTAGTACGCTCGTTTGTGGTGCGAATGACGCCAGTTCGATTCCGGCCGGGGACAAATGCTTTTTGCTTTTTCCACCGTTTGAATGTATCCTTTCAAAGCCGCAACTGCTGCCAGTTGACTCCGAATATTTTTAATTTTTAATTAAGGATTTCGTCTGAATTTACCGCAAACCACGCACACGATCCGGGGAATGTAACCAGTGGTATTTTCAGGGATTTAATTCCAGAGCACAATACACATACACGACATGTACGCTTAACCCTGCTCAACCAGCGTTTCGCATAAAAAGTGAGCGATCGAAGTTCAACCGTCAGCGTGGGAATATCACCGCCACCGGTGTTCCCCGTTAAGCTATTTTTGGCACTTGCGGAAGCTTCCGACCCTAGGAGTCAGAGTAAAAAACTCTGCCAGACGCAGACGGTAAAATACTACTTAAGCTTCCAACAACGTGGGGCATTAGCGGTCTGCCTCCTCGTTGTTTACGCTCCTCAGCACATCTCGCCATTCTGCGGCAAACGGACTCGAAATGTGGCCATCGGAAACTCGTTTGCACAATTGCAAAGGTGAGTGCATTCGAATCCTTTCGCTCAACATTCAGACCACAATCTCTCACGTCGTTCGGTGAGGAACCCGGGGCAGTATCTTGTTTTAACGCTTTGACCGCAGCCTGAAAGATCGTGATAAGTTCACATCACACCGTTTTCTTATGTTGTCTCCGTAGTATAGTGGTTAGTACGCTCGTTTGTGGTGCGAATGACGCCAGTTCGATTCCGGCCGGGGACAAATGCTTTTTGCTTTTTCCACCGTTTGAATGTATCCTTTAAAAGCCGCAACTGCTGCCAGTTGACTCTGAATATTTTTAAATTTTAATTAAGGATCTCGTCTGAATTTACCGCAAGCCACACGCACGACCCGGGGAATATAGCCAGTTCTATATTCAGGGATTTGCTTTCCGGAGCACGATACACATGCACATGTGCGTTTAACCCTGCTTAACCAGCGTTTCGCATAAAAAACGAACGATCAAAGTTCAACCGTCAGCGTGGGAATATCACCGCCACCGCTGTTCTTTTTTCTGTACCGTTCAACACCCGTTGAGCTAGTTTGGGCACGTGCGGAAACTTGCTAGACGGTAAAATACGACTTCCAACAATGTAGGGAGCCAAGACAGAGTTTTATTAGCGGTCTGCCTCCTCGTTGTTTACCCTTCTCCGAGTCAGCACTGCCAGCTCACAGAATGCAAAACCGACTCGGAGCCGCACACTGCTGGTCTCAGATATATTGTGCGCAGCCGCGGCCGACATTACAAACTTTTCTCATTTTCGTCTTCTTGCTGCTGGATATGATCTTTCATTCAAGAATCCCTTGCGCACTCAAGAGAGTTGTGATGTGCGCTGAAATTGGATAGCGATATGTGGCCATCAGAAACTCGTTTGCACAGTTGTAAAGGTGAGTGTATTCGAATCCTTTCGCTCAGCATTCAGACCACGATTTTTAACGTCGTTCGGTGAGGAACTCGAGGCAGCATTTTGTTTTTTCGCTTTGGCCGCAGCCTGAAAGGTCGTGATAAGTTACACATCGCACCGTTTTCTTATGTCGTCTCCGTAGTATAGTGGTTAGTACGCTCGTTTGTGGTGCGAATGACGCCAGTTCGATTCCGGCCGGGGACAAATGCTTTTTGCCTTTTCCACCGCTTGAATGTGTCCTTTCAAAGCCGCAATTGCTGCCAGAAATTGACTTGGAATATTTTTAATTTTTAATTAGGGATTTCATCTAAACATGCACGGCGAAGGGACACACAACCCGCTGTGTCAGTACAGACTCAAACCATTGTATTTTAAAGGGGTGCCATCTCCGGAGGACAATACAAAGTCTCAAGAAATATTTGTTCACAAGAAAATACAATGATCGAAGACCGCCAGCGTGGGAGAATAACACCGCCACCGTGGTCGACGGAAGTAACGAGACTTTCAAAAAACTCTGTTAGACGGCAAAATACAACAAATATAACTTCCAACAGCGCGGCACACAAGACGGAATCCTCATCAGCGGTCTGCATCCTCGCTGTTCGCCCTTCTTAGCACATCTTGCCATTCGGTGGCAAACCGAGACAACGTCTTATTGCGAGCTAAAAAAAAAGGGATGTGAGGAGCGAACAACTTGAAAAGGGTATGAACTGACCCAGAGTGGTGAGCACTTGCTCAAGCAGCTCGCGCTTAACTAAACCAGCAACAGTCGGAGACCATGACTGGTCCGTTGGCCGCCTAAAGTGTCATTAAGAAGCCATTTTGAAATGTGTGGGGCATATACGAACCAATACATCGGCCCAAAAAGCTCCCGGACCAACTCCTCCGCTTTTGCCTTGAACCCCTCCTCTGCAATTTTCTTTGTGTATTGTTGCAGTGCCAGCTTGTATTCCGCCCCACTGTCTAACAGCCTCGCAGAATGCATCCGCGTCTCCAGATGCGCGAGCGTCATCGCCATGTTCCACCACTTAGGGCGCTTCTTGCCGGGCCCGCTATCCTCAGGGTTGCCGGCTATGCTGCTCTCCGTGACGCTGACAATGCCGCGGCTGGCTGTAGGGTTGTTGGCGGAGCGTTGACGGCCTTGCCACACGTCAGAGCCTTCAGCCCACCAGCGCTCAGTGAGCTTCACAAATGAGAGGAGCGAGGCATCGTAGGAGTATACGACGCCGTTGGAGCAGGTGAGGATGGACGCGCCGTTGGCCTCGACTTTCGCGGACGTAAGGGTGTGATTTGGCGATACGAGGATTGTGGAGAGAGAGACCGGGGGGAATATAGCGGCCTGTTTTTTGACGTCCCTACAAAAGAAAAATGGTCAGTGGTGCGCCGCCGAAAGGGTTCCAATGGAAACAATACCAAGCGTGTAATTGTCCAGATGAAGAGATTATTTGTAGTATATTTTTTCTCCCAAATATGAGGGATGGCGGGTATCCCAGACTCAGAGTGGGCATGATCCTAAATGAAGTGATGAGGGTGGGTCTCTCGCAGAGTAGTGGTAGCATACCGTCGGCCGTTATGCGAATACACGTTGACCGACCCATCCAACATGGCAACGGCACAGAAACGCGACGTCAGACATAGCGCCAAAGCAGGCGACGGCAAATAGTCTATCCACTGCGTGTGTTTACCGGCCATGAAAGAAACCTCCGGCGCGCCTACGCATCATTGTCAGAAGCATGCGAGGAAAGTACTAATGGAGTGGCATACCCTCTCCCTCCGGGTTGATCGCTTCAAACAAGTCATCGCTTCCTTGTATTGTCGTCGTAATCCGCGTCATCAGCGCAGGTACTGGGAGGTCGATGGGTGCTGCGCCGCCACCCCCATTCCACGGTGCGCGCGCGGAGCTGCCGCTCGCTGTTGCGATCTCCCTCGCGGGCAAGACGGTCCGCTTGCGCTCCCCACCAAGTGTACGCGCCCTCTTCGGCTCGTCACCATCCATCATGGACGCCGACGACGCTTTGCGCTTTCGCCCACCCTCCTCCACCGCGTCGATCTTGACATCCATCGCGCTCCCCCAGTTGTCGCTATCCACATCGAAAATACTCGACGCGCGCTCGGGCAGGCTCTGGTTCAACTGCGCGCGCTTGGAGATCGCAACCCCGTTCAGCGTCGGCACAGAGAACGCGTTGTTGGTGCTGGGGCCAGAGGACACATTATTACTGGAGGAGAAAGGCTGCGACGGCGGAATGACACTCGTGAGCCCCGCGCGCTTCTTTCCCCCGCGCTTCGCCACGAGCACGTTCACACGCTCCACGCCACCAACCGTGTTTCCATTGCCGAAGCCGGTCTGAGTCTGGTCCATGGATTGTTGCGAGTGCGGCTGCGACTTGGGTGACGGTGGCGGAGTGAGCTGCCGCGCGATCTCGTGATGCGAGAAGCCCTCGGGGATTGGCGGCGGCTTGAAGCCGAACTTCTTTAGGTACGTTCCCTGGACGCCGTGCTCGCAAATACCCTCCAGCTCCTCGGGGTCGAAATTGAAGACCGCGAGGGTGCCGTCTGAGGAGACGGCGTAGAGCGTGAGGCCGTCCCAGGACCTGTGCAATTGTCGACATTTGAGCGGTGATGGTCGCGAAGGAAGGGACACACCAGTTGAGGTCCATGATTTGTCGCTCAAACACTTCTTTTGCGACGATCAGTGGGCGGGCGGACTTTGTCTGCCAAATGGAGACAGAACGATCGTCGGCGCCGAGCGCAACGACAGAGCAGATGTTAGCGGTTTGAACGGGCAAGCTCGTGTTCCGCAAAAATATATGAGGGTTGTAAGACTACACTCTTTAGTTACAATCCAGCGAGTGCCAATGCGAACTCACGGCGACTTCGACGGTGTTTTCGTGCCCCACCAGGCTGATTTCGGACGTCCACGTATTGCGTGTAATTACAGACGCGATGAATACGAAGCCTTTGTTGTTCGTGGCATTGGACGCGGTAATGTGGGCACCATCAGGCGACCAGCTTAAGGAGAGTTAGTGCCGTCCTGATGCTCGAGTAAAACACACCTCAGCCGCCGGAAGAAAGTGCTGCCCGGTGAGTCCTCGAATGGCTTCGTGACCTCGGCCTCAAGGGACCAGTCAGTGGTGTTCCAGATCTTGACCGACCTGTCGTCCGACTGCGTGGCGAGATATTCGCCTACGGGGTCCCAGCACACGCCCTTGACGAAGCCCTGGTGTTGGTCGAGCTTTCGTAATCGCTCTGTAAATGATATTAGGGCTGCGTACTCGGTTTGAAGTAGTTATACGTGCCGTGGGTGTACCCACACCAGATGATGACTTTTGAATCCAAGCCTACGGACGCCAAGTAGCGATCGCCAGGGGACCAGGCCACATCGGTGACATCTGGAGAATAATGATTAGCTAGTCTGAGAATAGAATTGAATTCAGACCAGCCTGGGCTCATTACTAGCCCAGCTGGCCCATCTCAGCATTGGCGCTCGGGGATTAACGCGTCGCAAAGGGAAATGCGAGTGGACGCGTCTGAATACGCAGACAAAGAATATAGCCATGGGTATCCCGACTCACCACTTTCGTGACCTGGCAAGCGCTTCAGAGGCCTCCACCCCTCGACGTTGACCTCATCCGAGCCCCAAACTTTGCCTCTTGCTGACCTAGTGCAAGTATAAATCACACTAAACCATGGAGACGTCACAGCCACTCACGGGTCGAAGTCCCAAATCATGACAATCTCGTCGTCGCTGCCACTAGCCAGCCATTTCCCCGAGTGCGCCCACCGGACTGTCAGAACCGGTCCAGTATGCATGGCCAACGTAGACAGCGCTTTTGGTGGCTTGTTTGAGAGCTCCGAGGCGGGATTCAGGATTGGTTTGGTACTCCATATGCGTATCTTAGCATCCAGACCGCCAGTCGCTATACGAGAACCATCCGGATGGACATGGACTGAAAATATACACAGATGTTTTGAAGCATCGCTTTTGGCCGCTGAGTCTTTATGGACAACCCAAGCTGGTTTTGTGAAACGCATGGACCCGTACAGATGTTATTAGGATGGTATATGAAGCCAGACGAAACGAGAAAAGGAAGGAACTGGACGGGATGTGGACACAGGCAATGTGCTTATGTCATCCCGCCCTTCATGAACCAAATACTGTGGCGCGTTCTCTGACCCAGGAATCGTTTGAACGTCTGGGATCCTGGAAGTCAAAGGAATCCCTCGGCCGGCATTTTTGGCCATGGACTCCATTCTCAACTCAACATTACATGCTCGGCTCAGTGCGCTCAGTGAATATGTCTCTTCGTGCTCTTGATTTATGCTTGATTACTGCTGGTCAATAAAGGTGTACTGTTTCATCCAAACGGCTCCTCCTTTGGTACCTATGAGTTTTTGGAAGGAAACATGTGGAGCCAGTAGTTATTTGATGGCGGTGACTTTGCAATTTGTATCTGCCATCATGGACAGCCTGGACAGCCTACCCGACCTACCCCTCGCTGCGCTGGACTCGAAAGTCAGTTTAAGAATGCCCTCGATTCCCATTCTCTAAAGCTCTCCTCTAGGTCCACCCAGACGAGCGTGAACGCATAATAGCCCAATGGCTGGCCGAGATGGCTAAGCCAGAGCACGAGGAGGCTCGCAAAGCAGTGGCAGCCGCGGCCCCCCGAACTAAAATAAGTGCGTCCTACGGTGGCGTATTCAGGATGTTCCTAATGTTCAGCACGACAGGCAGAAAAAAGCTTGACGAGATCCGGAGGACACATGGACTTTAAATTGCTTAAATGTAGCTTCAATAATTAAATCCATTGCAAGTCGGGTTCAAAGGTCTTGACTCGAGTCCGACGGGCGTTGGATTGCGAAAACCGTCGCCCCGCCTTGATACCGGGGTCCTCCGCCTCAGGCATTGAGTGGAGAGGCCACCGGACACCACAGTCAGCTACATAGATGTCCCATTCCACCTCTTGACGAACAACCACCATGTTCTCCCTCGCCTCCAAGTTCCTCCGCATTCTTTCCCGCGTTGCGGTTGTTGATATGGGCATCTTTGTGCTCTCTACAGTAGGCCTGCTCATTAGCTTAACCCAAGTCCCCAATGTCATCGGCAGCTACTCCCCCTCCCGCACCTATGGTGGACCCGCCCCCTCCGGACCTCGGGGATGTGATGGACCAAGACGATGGCGTTCCTGACGGAGGAGAAGAAGATG